AGAGAGAGAGAGAGAGAGAGAGAGAGAGAGAGAGAGAGAGATGGCCGGTGGGCGCCCACCTTCATGGCTGCTCGGCGCTCGCCCGTTTCCCGCCGCTTCCCGCCGCTCCGAGTTGGTGGTGTCCTGCTGCTGATGTCGGCGATGGTGTCCCGCCGTGTCCCTCCCTCCCCCCTTCGTCTGTCTCCCGCCCCGCGCAGCTTCTGCCGTCGCCACTCTTCCACGCGCTGCCTCCCGCCTTCGGTGCCCGCTCCAAGATCGGAATGTTGTCCCCCTTGCCCGAAATGTTTTTTGGGGAAGGGTCTGCCGATTTCGAAAATTCGAAATCGGCAGGCCCTTCCACCCAAAAAATTTTCGGAGGCGGGGCGCGACCGGTTTCTGGAATCGCGCGGCCCGGCCTTCATTTTTGCCGGGGTGGGGCCCCGCCTTGCTAACGAAAACCAAAAAAATATATTTTTTTTGGCAGACCCCTATTTTTCGCGGTTCGGGGCGCCGCGGTGCGCCGTGTGGTGCGCGGCGCTACGTGCGCTGCTCGTGCACAAACCGGCGCACCGTCGTGCGCTGCAACTATGGAATCAATCAATGGCAATGGAATGAAAGTCAGGAAACACAATGTCCAAATTAAAATCAGGCAATCGCAATCAAGCAATCAGGCAATCAGGCAATCAACTTTGGGTATCAAACTTACTTTGGGTATCAAACTTATTAACTGGTTATCGCCAAAATCAGACATACAAAACGAATTATGAGTTTTTAAGCTGCGTAGCACCCCGTTCGCGTTCACTGGCGAACGCGAACACGTTCGCCCGAACCCAAACAGGCTCTGAAAAACATAATTGTTTTTTTTTTTTTTTTTTTTTAATATATATATGGGGGGGGGGGGCATAGGTGGTGTCCCTGAACCCCCTGAGTATCTGCAGATCCATCATCTCTGCAATGGTGCTGCCCCCCACCAGATCCACCCCATCCCCCCCCGCACTTCCCGACAGAATGTCTGTCACAGTCTGTGTGTGCTGCCCCCCACCAGCCACACATATGTGACAGACTGTCTGTCACAGTCTGTCACAGCCAGTCTGTTGGGCAGCACACACAGATTGTGACAGAGTCTGTCACAGATGTGTATATGTGTGGCACACACATCTGTGACAGACAGTCTGTTGGGCAGCACACACAAACTGTGCCCAACAGACATTGCAGCACACAGACTGATGGGGGCAAGCTCACACAGAGTCTGTCACAGTCTGTGTGACAGAGTTTGTCACAGTCTGTCACAGTTTGTGTGACCGACAGTCTGTCACAGTCTGGTGGGCAGCACACACAGAGTGTGACAGAGTCTGTGTGCCCCCTACCCGACAGACTCTGTTACAGTCTGTGCGCTGCCCACCACATAGTGACAGACAGTCTGTCACATAGACTGTGACAGACTGTGACAGACTGTTTGACACACACACACACACACACACACACACACATACACTTGCTGCACTCACACACACACACACGCATACACTGACACACACACTGCAGCAGATTGTGACACACTGACTCACTCGCACTGACACACACACACACACACACACACACACACACACACACACACACACACACTGACGCACACACGCACACACTGACGCACACACTAAACACACACACACACTGACGCACCCACACACACACGGTACACACACACACACACACACACACACACACTGACGCACCCATGCACACACTGACGCACCCCAAGGCCCCATAACCCCCGCCAGGACCACCGCCGGCGACCTGTACCGGCCCCCGTGAACGACGTTCGCGGCCTCCAAAAACGCGTTCTCGCGAACGTGTTTGCGACCTGTTCGCGTGAACGCACGAACGCGTTCGCGCAGACGGGAAGCACCGTGTACACTTTCGCCGTGCTACGCAGTTTTTAAGAAATACCAAGCAATCTGGGAATTAAGAACGTTGAAATTCCCTCCGATTAATCTTTAGGGATCAGTAGGAGTGTACTAGCTTTTAGTAATGTTATCCCAGCAAACCAAGACGGGCGCAGGAGAAGGAACACCTCACCCTAAACAAAACCATCGACACAACCCTCCCCTCTCCAAACCTCACCTCCTCGTCCTCCATCGGCTTTCAAGCACCTGGCCCACCCATGGTCGACTGCACTATTCAACCACCTCAAAAGGGCCGGACGATGAAGATAAACAGACCGTCGCTCGGATCACCATCACAGCAGTCCAAACCACGTCGCGAGACTAACTGCTGAACCTGAGAGCCACCCCTCGCAGGTAGTCCAAAAAGATGAAGGGGTATCGTCGTTAGCAATGATGTTCACCCGCAGCAAACCTAACCCCCATACCCTTGCACTTCCCCACTCACTCACCCTCACGATGTTCGTCCTCTTCGACCAGAATATCATCATAAGAAGAACGACCCCTCTCATATTCCTCCACGCGGCACCCAGCGACTCACACTGCATCGTCGTCCTCCTGCTATCGACCGCCTAGCGCCACGTGGTCTTGGGAAACTTCGGGCACCGCCTCGTTGTTGATGCCCTCCCATTGTCAGCCACCCGCCACCGTGCCGCTTCGGGAGACTTCCAGCACCGCCGCGCTGCTTTGGAAGGCCTCGGGCGGCAGAGCGCTCCCGGTAACGCTCCACCGCCCCCTCGGAGTTCTGGCTCCTCCTGAGTGCTGGTTACACTGAGGTAGGATAGTAGGGACAGGGGGTGCGCTGGGAGTGTTAACGTGGGGATGGGTAGGGTAGGTGGCCTATCCCGTCAGGACAACCATTGGCTGCCTCTGCCAGCAATCACCGCGGGTCTGGTCCTTGGTCTCTACAACACTGTGGGCTTTTTAATAAATTAAAAAAAAAAAAAAAAAAAAAAAAAGGTAGGTGCCAACCTACCACCAACTGAACATGTGCAGGGGAGGTTGAGGGCTGA